GAGATAATACTATTCTTGCATAGAGTATCTCGCGCAAAACGCGTCCTGTCGTGCTAGCTCTACTGATGACTTCCTGAGCAGTGGTGGCACAGTTTGCATTAGGAGAGGATATAAGCACAAAACAGTTTAAATCAAGCGACTGGAACTTTTAAAACATAATTAATAGATTCAGGCGTTTCTTTGCGAAAATCTACGTTAGACAAATCACGTTAAACACTCAGTGAAGTTAAATCGTACAAACTAGCTGCGATTGTGTTGAATTTTTTTTCAAACACAACCATCTAGAACATACTCGAGACGTGTTTCGCCTCTCTACGAGGCTTCTTCAGGAGTTGTTGATTGTTCGACACTCGGCCGAAGAATCAACTCCTGAGGAGCAAGCAGAGTAATTTACTTCCATTTTGTGTTAATAAAATGAAGTGGATGAATTGGGTAAGTAATCGCCGTTTTTAGCTTTGATAACATTTACGCATATTGTTGCGTATCTGTAACTATATATTGCAACTTCGACCTTTCATGTCAATGTATATTTATTAACTTGGTAACTGATTATATCGCACATTGCAACCAATATTGTCACTAAATTAAAAATGTGATTTTCGTAAAATGTCCTTTAAAGCTTATGAATATGAGGGTTGGCCCATCTCTAAAGAGTGAAGAAACTTTCATAAGGTTCTTACAGGCGGCGTCGACGGCAAAAAAAAAACATTTAAATTCAGTACAACATAATACAATCTGCAACAAGCATCTAGAGAAATTGGCCCCGGAAACCCCGGTGTGGCGACACACAAGTTCAGTCAGATAGAAGGATTTTTTATGATACTAAGTGACAGGACGAACAAGTCGTGCGCCTGGTGGTAAGCGTCACGCCTGTCCATAACAGTTAGGACAATGCCACTGCGCCCGTCACCCTGAGACGTAAGTTGAAAAGTTTCATGTGCCAGTAATTTCACCAGCACCCCGACCCTTCAAATCTGGAACGCAGTAATGCGAGCATTCCTGCTTGGCGGCAGAAATAGGTAAGGTGGTACTGCCCTGGACGAACTCTTCACACGGAGTTTCACTGCTACTACTTTGTGTTGTTCGATAAAAATTTATGAAAATAAGTTAATATAATAATAAATGGTAAAGTTTCTTGCGATTTCTGTCATTTCTAGTACTCTTACCTCAGTTGGTCTCATAAATACGTTTGATTCTTACGGGGAATAGAAACAAATAACATAAAAATTCGTGAAAATTGTTTTAAACTTGCTGACTGAACCATTTTTTTCATGGACTGTTTTCTAGGACCGTTTTCCTGTAACAATTACAGTTAAGTTAAGGAACAAGTGAGATTTTCGTTTAGTAACGGTTTTGTTTTGAACCTGCTACATTACGAACCATTAGAGCATAAATCTGATTGGAATAAATTTGGAATATGGGGGGTTGTATTAGGTACTGTAGTCTAGGCTCTACTCTATGAGTAGAGTCACTGGCTGAGTGAATAGATTTGTAAATAGAATGCTTTGAAAATGAAGTAAGAGAAAAGAATGGAGCATCTTGACATTATTGAATTGTAACCCAACACTATAAGTATGTGAAAGAATACAATAAACCATATTTTGAAGATTATTCCGGTTTATATTCATAAAAGCACCTCTCGCTACGCAATCCGAGCTACCCCCCAGTTACAGTACCTATTTTTCATTACTAATGGATATCGTTCTCAAAATTTTCGTGTTTATTCTAACTAAATGATTGTCATTAATTACAGGTTTCTTGCCACGCTATGATTCTATTTATTGGATATTTGAATTTTATTATCAATTCAAAAGACAGTGTCAAGTATGAAGCTTCATTCGTATCATGCGTCTTTTAATCTAGTAGAGTATAATTCATTTGACAGCAATTATTTCCCCAGCCAGCAAATAAACCCCCTGGTAAATATCAAAACTGAGGTAAGAGTACTAGAAAAGTAAAAAATCGCATAAAATGATTAATACGTTATTGACTTAATTTCAAAAATTATTACTCGTATTCCAGTGCCATTCAGAGCTTTAAATCGCAAAGATTTGAGAAGCACTGCCGCTGCGACCGTCATCCTGAGACATAAGTTAATTGCGACAAAAATTACAGTAAATTTACATATCCTACAGCCATGTCATATTTAATTAATTCGTATTAGAGATACCAGCAGAATAATATATTCAGAAACAGTTTTATCCTCCAGAAAAATATGCTTATCTGTAGTCTACACGATATCACGGAGTGTGCGATGGAATTGCACGCTTTAATACCACCTCTATGTTGTGGATACATCAAGTATTCACACGATGCGTTAGGGCGCGTGTCCACGCTAAGAAAAGTCGCCGGGTCTATGCAAGAATTAGTGTCGTTTCTACACACGAACTGTGTAGTGTTCTGTGGTGTACACTGCCTCGGCGCCAGACAAAAAAAATCTTGTCTACCCTGGACACGACGCGCTCTGCCGCTATTGCACGGGGCGGGGTGAGGTGCATTGTCAGTAAATGAACGTTTATGCGCGTGGACAGGTGTTGCTTAATAGTCAACATATACAACAGCATATTTCTTCCCACAGTCGGTGGTAAAGCGTTTTACCCTACACGTCTTTCCGAAAGCATTCGTATTGTGTACATACTCGACAATTTCTCGTCTGCAACAGACACGATATGTTTCCGTGGCTAAATCCGGCAAAGTTCTTGCCGTATACAAGACCATTCTCATCTTTTCTGTAGGAAACACGACGAATTTCTTAGCTACTTTATTACTTATATTACGACCGGCTATAGAGTGGAATTCCCTGCCTGAAGACTTATTCCCTGTATGCTATAACATGGGCCTTTTCTAGGCAAGAGTAAATAGATATTATTTAGGTGTGCATGGTTTATCGTTGATCTCATCGTCACTTTCCATCATGTGAGATTGAGGTCAAATGTGCACTTACTTTTATACAAAAAAAAATAAGAATTTTGTATATAGCGCGGTTTGTCTTTAAAGCGCTGAACGCGCATTACCTAACCGAGACGCTGTAACTATACATTCGCAAATTTGTCGCTATAATCTTTGAGCTCAAAAAATAAGGTTTGTATTAGTTATAATTCCAATTGTACTCATTGAAATGTTGCTACATTTCCAAAGGAAACAAAAGTAAAAACTTAACACTAATAATATTTAATCTGCTACTAATGTATTAAGCCCGAACGCGTTGGTTCTGAAAAGGTCAGTGGACCCGCAAAAAACGGGTCAATGACCCCGATGTTACGTCACTGTTCTTACATGTAAAGCCATTAGCAATAAAACCAAGTGAATATTGCTGTTGCTATACATTTTTTTTAATGAACCGTGTTAAACTGTGTACTATTAACAATGCCGACTACAAAAAGTTTGTATTACTGAAAAGTATAAAAAAATAAGACCAATGACAAACACTCACCTTTTCTAAAATTCCTTAAACGCAGCACAACATAAAATATTAATCATTCTCTTAAAAATAACATTGTCCTATTTCTATAAAAGCGTTAAGATCCGTTAATTTCAAACATGTATGAGAAACAGAATGCCCTTTGAAGGACGATGCATTGTCCCATCTCTGGGGCAGTTATCGCACCTTGGAAACGCGGGGTTGTTACAATTTGAGTGCTTCGTTCAATCATAAGTGTGTTCGAAAGCCAGTTCGGTAACTGTAAGCCCTTATTGCTCCCCGACTAATCGATATAAATGAAAATTTATCGTATCCGAGTTTTCTTATACCGTTTCTTCTAATCTAATATCTAATATAAGAATTTCTTCTAACCTAATCTAATATCTCTTTGTAATACAATAAAAATTTGAATTAAGTTACTTAATATAAGAATTTCTTCTAACCTAATCTAATATCTCTTTGTAATACAATAAAAATTTGAATCATTGTCATCTAAATTTATTGTTTTATTTTGATTTACAAAACAAAGTTCTTATTGAAAAACCCTATATAAGGTAATGAACTTGTAAAACACCTTTAAAGCATAGGAAATGAAACTATTTTTCCGGATTTAAATCGCGTATATTTGTTTTTTCAAACAAACCGACGTTTCGGGCCCTTTACAGGTCCCATGGTCACGGTTGACTCCTTTAGACCTTTAAAGCAATTTGAAATATTCCAAACCTCATTGAGCCCCTGACAAATTGAATTAAATGACGCTTTATATGCCTCTCGAGCATTCGAGACAAATGACTGTCGTCACAGCCCACCCTCAATAATAAAGTGGTATAATAAATCGAAACGTAATTTTTCAGATAGGGATAAATTAGATTTTTTTTTAAATGGCTAAATGTCGGGGATAGTGCAAATCCGCGTATGTAATATTGGTTGGTATAAGGCGCATTCTGCAGTAAACCAAATTTTACAGGAGAGAGATTTAACGTTATTATTTTGTTATTTCAATGGTTCCGAAATATTAAATAATTAAATTTTTGTTTTAAACTTTATGTTGACTACGGATTGATAACAATAGATTCCCTTGAATCACGCTAATTTGGTTGCCACGACATATATGCGGATTTCATTTGGCCACTAAATTACCGAAATGGAAACTCATAATCCAAAGCCTATCACCGACGAAATACCTTAAGCCGATTGGCAAATCCATTCACCACATTGGCAAGCATTATAGTATACGCTATCGATGCAATAAGAAATTCTATTTCGTAAGTTTTTTATTTATTTAGTCAGCTTCTAAAAAAATTACATTTCAAATTGCGTCACTTTATTACAAAGGTGTGAAAGTCCTTTTTCCACTGAGCAAGATGAAGATCACAAGTTAATTCCTTGCAATATACTTTAAAGAAACTTAAAGCGGAGGCTACACAGCGAGCGCAACTAAGTAACTCACATAGCAGTCGCAATCAACTATGCGACTTTGCTCGGTTAGCTTAGTTCGCGGTACGAAAGCTACTATTACGTACCTAAAACTAACTTAGCTTCGCATACGGTATACCCTGCGCTTAAAGTTATTACATACCTCGTTTAGCCAATCCAGCAGTATAGCGCGCATACGTGGCTGAAGACTGGGGTGGTTGTCAAACATATGCGGGTTTCTCTTCATAGCGGCGCGCGTGTCGCACTCGCACATGCTCTTCCACACGTCCGCCGGGTCCGCCCATGACAATCCTGGCAGTGGACATTTCCGTTTTGGCGTACTTGGGCATTGCGATTTGCTTGTACTAAAAGGATGGTGATGAAATAAGTCACGAACGTCAACAAACGAAAATCTGATCATAAGGGTGGAAAAACTTCATCTGAAAAGCTTAAGAATGCAAAGATTGGGGTGCATTAGTAGTAGGCTTTATTAAGTAACAAGGGTGTAGAAAAGCCTTGTTTAACCTAATTACACTTGTCACCAATAAATTTCGATTTATTCTAAAATAATTTATGTTATAACAGGAACATGTGTATTCAGCTTTAATGGACAATTATTGATAGGGAATAAGGAAGAAGTGTTAATAAATAACATCTAGAAGCTCTAGTTGATTTTAATAAGGACATGCTTTACATGTTTAAGAATGTTAATAAGGCCTATTGTTTTAACTAGGTCAAATACACAGCTAATATTCTATATGTTAAAATATCAAAATATTATTACTATTTATAACTTCCTCAACAACCTTTCCACCCTTATCCATTACCCCATTTACCCAGATGATAGGTAGCAACCTTCCCATCTACAAATATAAATGAATAAAGATATTTTGAAACAAGAAGTTGTGCATACTTGTATGTCTATTATTGTGACAAGAAGTTGGCAACCTGAAAAGCAATACACACCCAATAGTTGAGCTTGTAACAATACTGCTATTACCATTTAGGGAAATAGTAATATTGTTAAGTTTCTGAAGTACTATTCAGTACATTTATAGAACACATTGAGTGGGATGTAGAGATCAAGTAGTCACCTTCTTAGGCCTCTGCAATCTAAATGTATTGCAGAAAACACCAATGACCATGACCCAGACATGTTAAGAATGTATTCATTGTAATGCATTCCAGTTATCAAAAAAAAGCTGTATATCAGAGTATATCATCACCTTATTTGATTCTAAATTAAAGAGTTGAGTGTTGCAGAGAATGCACTATGAACAAAGTGTGAATTTTTTATTTTAGGATACTTGCCTAGTGCTAACATCGACCTATTCTTCTAAGCACAAGGCTTGTCCATGTAAGCATCTATAATGAATGACTTGAGTAAAATGCTATGACAAATGTGAAATTGGCAATAAGTGTCATATTTCGCTGCATTGCAATGAGCTGTTTCCCCCACCTTACATAAAGGCTGTACATTGAAAAACATATTGAAACATCTGTGTTACCAGTGACTTACCTTGACCTCTTATTTGTGTGTGGTGTAGAGTCGCCCCTGGCAACATTTTCTAAGGGACTCAAAACACAGTTGGGTAGTTCTGGTAAACTCGGTGGGCTTAGTAAGCTGTCAGGGTTGTAGTCAATATCTGTGAACACACTCCTCGGCTGCTCAATGTTGCCAAGCTGGGAGCTCTCATCATCACTTGAACAAGATGATGATTCTACAACCACATGTTGCGCAGGTTGGTCATTTAGTTCCTCTTCAAGCTTTAGTGACATTTTCGAAGGTGGCATATTCTCAACCTCCTAAAAAAGGCACATACATAGAATCTTGGCTAAGTGATGAAAACATGCAGTTTGTACAGGCAACAATACCCACATCATCAGTAGAACTTCTCTTCCGTTTCAAGGTTGAACGTTTTTCACTGGAGTCATCTGAAGAACTGCAAACAGGTGGCATTGGTAGTAAGTAAACAAAGTTCAATCAAGGTCACTAATCAAGTTGACACACAGGTTACATACCCATTTTGTGCCATTGTAGCTGATTCAAGTTAGCTGGCACTGAGTCTCCACTGCCTAAAAATAATGCAAATTAAGCTTATGCAACGATATTTAACGAAAATGTATGCTAAATCTAGGATTAGTGCATAAAATTACCGCATGTCATGTTCAAGTTTGTGAATAGGGTTATGTCTGTTGCCAACCTCAATTGTGGGCATATTTCCAATATTACAAGCGACCCTAGGTATCCCAATTATGTTGGGGTCATTTTAGGACACCGTGCAGGCTATGAATTGGTAACTTTCAGGCCATAAATTGCACATCGAAGCGGATGTTCGGTCAGCGTGCCCCCCACAGGTTGGCGGGAGATTTTTTTTTCAGAGGTAAATTTGAACTATAAATTCACAATTAATATCGATGTATTCTAATCTTATGCTCACTAGACATGTTTGAGAAACTTATGGAATCATAAAAATAAAGAAATGAATCGATCAGCTGCTAGAAAAAATGCCACGAATCCGCTACAATCGCGCGCGAAATCTGTCGTCAGCGCCATTATACACGTCGCAGGCTTGGCATTTCTTACCCCGTGCTCTTTTGGAAATTGATAAAAATAGCACAAATATGATACAATATCTTTGAAATATTAATGCTTTGTTGATATAATGGTATTAATTAAGAATTAGAAGCTACATACAGGGCAAAACCGTTGACAGCGTAATTGGCTTGGCTTATCGCCCACCATAGGTTTCTAACCTAATTAGGACTAAAGTCTAAAATTATAGGTCTATCAAGCTAACGAAATAGACACTTTACATCTTTAACATGTTAAGTAACCTTAATAAACGTACCTTGTCATTCACAAATTAATGTAAAATCCACGAAACAAACTTTCCTTATTCACTAGATACGGGGGTCAGTTATGAACACAATTACTCGTTCTTTATATCTAATTTTCACACATATGGTAATAAAGGGATTAAAAATAAATATAAACGTTATACTTATGGTATTTTCTTGTATTATAAATTACTTTTCAGATTTTCACGGCTCGATAACGCCCGGCTTTCCGCGCGAAAATGTCGCGGTAAAACTCGGTGCTCGGCGGTTTGACGAACTGCTAACTTCACTTTTGTTTCTTCTGAAAACAAATGTCATCGGTGCAATGCATTCTGTTTCACGAAGGCTTCGTTTCTATATACATTTTAAGGCAGTAAAAAGACTTGAAATTTTTCTTACTTTTACGATGTTTTGATTGTATGTTACTTCTTTAAAAACTTGAAAATTTTACACAAACATTACAACATTCAAATTAAAAAAAATTAAAATGCCAATTACAAACTTACAATAAGTAGCATCATAAAGTTTGTCAGACTTGACTCAGATATCGGTAATTTTATACAAGAAAAAACAAATTGTTATTTGTAATACATAGTAAATAACATTTTATTAAAATTGTGTTAGTGCATTTGTGTAAGGTAGAATATTTACGTTCGAAACCAAAGCTGCACGGATTCAACCTGGGCGATAACTATAGGCGGCGATTACGCTGCTTCGTTATTTGAACACTCCGGATGAAGGAGTTCCTGTCTAGAAGTAGTGTAGCGTACATACACACATACACCTCAAGCCTTTTCCCCATCATTTTTAGTGTAACAAACTGATTATTTTGCAAAAAAGTTTTGTGTTTTATAATAAAATATTAGACTCAATTAATAAAGTAAACGCTTACTACGTGTAATGGAAAATATCCAGAAACACAATGCTTCTCTCTGATTGGTTGATTTCAATAGCTTGGCAACTGAATTTCATTTTGGCTGTTGGTACCTCTACGTCGCCAACTTCACTCTATGCTACAGCTGGGCGCCAGCTGATAGAAAATGTACGATTGAGCGAGAAAAGTCAATATAGGTGCGCTATTTCTGAAGATAACGTGAAGTCTGGTGATACAAAACATCTGTGGTGAAATATTATGTGAAAAACAGGTGAATTGTACAATTTTATTAATTTACAATGGCTGTGCAGAACATAGCGGTAAAGTTATGCGGTATATTACAATCTCTGACTGATGACGGTAAGTGTTTGTTCCAATTTCTTTATTACAAATATTGCTTTAGATTACTTTCTGTTTACTGTCTCTAATATTTAATGTAAAAAAAGTACTTGTTAATGATTGCCATACTTAAAACAAAATATTGACAATAATTGTGAACTTGCTATTACAGAAATAACAGCGCGCGAATGGCGTTTGCTAGGACAAGAGCAGGATGGTACTCAGCTTCTGTCATGGGTTTCCACAAAAGACACCAAAGAAGTCTTAAACATAGGCCTATACACCAACAAGACAAAGACATTGACTACTTTGTACAATTTTAATGAGAACCTTAATATTATTCAGGCTTCAGTTAACGCTTCCCACACATTACTGGTTTATGTTGTTAAACAACTTCCTAATGAAGATTGTGGGACATTGGAAGCGTTATATTGCCCATATTTACTATGTCTACTGCCAGACAAACCCAGTGAACCTGTGGCAATTGAGGAGGGCTCAACCAAGCAAATAATGGTACAATATGTATATGGAAAGAGTAATAAATACAGTCCTGGTATTAGGAATGATCGGTTTATCCTTTTCAAGCATTTGGAATGTGAGTAAAACATACATACGTACATTGGAAATGAAACTGTTATCAGATCTAAGTCTTGTTTGGACCATATCAGTGTCTGCTGCAAACATAGAGCAGTGACCATGGAACCTGTAGAGCGCTCAAAACATTGGATTGTTTGAAAAACAAATATACACGAATTTAGATCCAGAACTAGTTTCATTACCAATGTGTAACAATTACAATAAACTAAGGGTTGTATTCCAGAACTCTACTCAATACTCAAGCCAGGACTTGAGTATTGCAGTGAGCACTGAAAATCATACTCAAGTCCTTGCCATTAGGGTCGTATTTCCAGTGCTTGAAATCATACTCAAGTCTGCTCAAATCTTGACTTGAGCATTGAGTAGAGTCCTGGAATACGACCCTAAGAAATATTGCACCTCCAGTTAAACACAGACAACTGCAAAAAAATTGTGATCCCAATCTGTTTATGAAAAGCAATTTACACGGAAAAACAGAGACACATTATTTTAGAGGATGGGAAAAAAATAAAAGAAAGGAGCTGCCCTAACTAAGGAGTAAAGATGCATACCTAAACAAAAATTGAACGAACAAATGGTGGATTTCTTTAGTGTCATACCATTCTATCGATAAGTCATTATCAACATGCAAACATTTAATTAAAGTAGATCAATATTCGATTTGGAAATATTTTAGGTTAAATGGGAATATCCCGGAATGTCACAGGAAATTTTTTATTATTGTTTTGCATTTACAAATACTCAAATATTACGAAAAGTGAGTTTGCACAGAAAAAATGTAATTACATTTTTTCTGTGCAAACTCACTTTTTTTATATACTCTCAAATTTGAGAGTATATAAAAAAAGATAAAACTTTGAAATGTAAATCTGGAGATCTTCTATACATTTCCAACCTCAAAATTCATATTTTCATAGAGAAATTTTTGAACGGTTTCCAAATAGTGTAAGCTTTTTTGTATTTAAGTTTTGGTATAGAATTAATATCAGTGACTGATTTAAGTAAATCTTTAATACTTCCATTTAATTTTGGAAATAAATGAAAGTAGTTAGTGTCTACTTATATTCAAAGTTAGGTTAAAATTTGACTCTTTAAAATGAAGCTAATAATTGATGGTGGTTTTGATTCAATGTTTATATTCGGCACTCCAATGATTTGCAACCATCCTTTTTCTTTTTTGATTTGTAGATAAACTTGAAATAGTAAAAATAATAATAATAAAAATCTCGTAGTGAATTATTTTAATAACAGAATATCGATAATATGTACGCTTCCAAGAACAACACCATCTCAAAATAATTGTTAACAACAATCATCAAAATATATAAACAAACAGGCAATCTGAAAAAATCAACGCAAAATTTGGCAAGATTTATGAATAAACTACTTAAATATGTCTAATTACACGAGATATGTGGGCTTTTGTGTGATTTATAGACAGAAAAATAACACGTGCCTGTGCAATATTATTTTCGGTCGATTTTCGCTTTTTCTAATGCCACATTCCATAACGTTGCAGCGACGAATTTTTATTTATACTTTATTGTTCTCACTGTCAATATTTTTGTCCATTTTATTACAATACATACGAATAATTCAATAAAACACCTGAAAAAACATTTGTTTTGACATTTGATGTACTTCCCTTTGACAACCGTATTATGTACCTCATGTACTGCGAAATGGACACAGTTGGCATTTATGATGACGTTCCGTATTTTCGATTCCCGGGTTTGACATAGACCAATGTAATCCTATCTCTTTTGGCTTAAGACGTCACGCAATAGTTAAACAAAGATATTAACATGCTTATGTTTTCAACGTCAAAATGCATCGTATACATATAACGTCTGATTTGTATATGTCAACATAATATGTCCTTTGTTTCCATAGCCTAAGCACATTATGCATTCCTTAATTTTTCTATAGATAGCGTAATGCATATTGAAACAGTATAACATTTAAGAGCTCTTCAAATGTGCTCAGCAGACCTAAATTTTTTTATTTTCATTTTCACTACAAACAAAAAAGAAGGTAGTAATGCATTACTGCATTCCGGTTTTAAAGGACAAGGGTGGATGAAATTACTGGCACATGGGACTTGTCAGCTTGTGCCTCAGGGTGACATGCACAGCGGCAGTATTCCTCAGATCTTTGTGATTTAAAGCTCTGAGTGGCACTGCAATTGCAATGGGCAGGCGTGTAGCTTTCCACCAGGCGCACAATTTGTTCATTCCATCCCATAAAACAATCTTCAACATGCAGATCACAATGTTTCTTTTCTTTTTACCATCAGTGAGAAGTATTGTAACTTCATTGTACAACTGTACAAAAGTCAGCAATTAAAGTCGTTGGTGCTGTGGCATGCTGCCACAGGCATGTGACCATTGCCCTCTGAATTGAGAAGCAGTTATCCTTAAATATCAGGCCAGCATGGTGTACTATGGCGTAGTAAGAAAACCCCAGCTGTCGAACTTATCAAGGGTTAAATAAGAAAGAGGCACATAAAACAAATTAAATTTCCGTTAACGCGAATTGTACATAATTGCATTTGTCCGTGTTGAAGGTATAAAAATCTACCGCACTCCAATGTTCCTGAATGAGTGTGACGATGGCACAGAGAAATGGGGCTTCGATGGTGTGTACCCTGAGCCTGAGACCATTGTCAAGGTTTTCTCTTGGGCACAGTGGGACTGTGTTAACCAGGTAACTGACTTTTTGTGTTCTGTTATCAAAACTGGATACAATTTAGAGATAAACTAAAACTATTTCTGCGGAGTGAATAATACATTTCATAGATTTCTCACAGTGGCGCTATGGCAAAAGGTCTTTTAAAACTGTTTTGTAAAATTCTATTGATTTTGATTCAACACTGACTGTTAGGGGGGATTCCCCGTAAGTGTAGGGACACTTTTAATAACAAAAAAAAGGAGGGCCTTTTTTTTGTTGATTAACCAAAGCCCTTTGAGGTTGTATAGACTTCTTAACATTCAATAAGCCAAAATATTTTTAAACAGTTCATTATTAACCCATTATATATCCCACTGCCGTTTTCCTCTAAAAAGAGGGTTTAGTCCGTAGTCACACAGTTGTGAACCTTCTTCGACACGTAGGTTTTATTACGATGTTTTTCTTTACCTCTAGCGAGATGTGTTGCTACTACCTTACCTATTTTTGCCGCCTAGCGGTAATGTCAGCATTACTGTGCTCCGGTTTTGAAGGGTAAAGGTACTGGTGAAATTACAGGCACATGGGACTTGTCAACTTAAGTCTCAGGGTGACGGCAGCAGTGATCTTTGCAGTTTAAAGCTCTGAGTGGCACTGTAATTGTCGTGGACAGGCGTGTAGCTTACCATCAGACGCACGACTGTTCGTCCCGTCACTTGATGTTATAAAAAAAAATACTAATCATAAATGTGCATAACTTGCAAACTGCAAGTTTTGGAACATGCTGTCACAAGGATTCGAACCATCGACCTCTCCATTCAGAAGCAACCATTTTCCCACTATGCCACCATCGCTGTTAATCATGATTATCAACTTATATATAAGAATTGAACGAGTCCTGGAAAAATTTATGAAAATGTATATTGTTATAAACTGGGCAAGTCTTTTAATTCAATCGATTATCTACGTCTCTACAAGGGTCAACACGTAGTGCTTCATATTACTCGCCGGAATATTGCTGATTTAGTGTATTTGTCAAACATCATAAACGGCGATGTCGAATGTCCCGAATTACTGAGTAGTGTTGCGTTTAATGAGATACTACCGTCCTGTTGCAGTTCCCCTGGCGGGGACTAAATATGGACAAAACAGTTTTCTTTATAGGGCTTGCAAGAGTTTGAACGATGTGTTGAGCAGGAGTGAACTTAATATTGACATATTCAATTCTAATTCGAACTCATTAAAGCATAAACTTGTGTGTTTGTTTAATGGGTGATCATTTCGTGGCGCAGGTATTGGAATATATATGACTTACATTACATATATATATATATATTATATTCTCTATATATATCGACCTCTCTTACGTAAAGTATCGTATGTCGTAATTGCCAAGTTTACAGGGGAGCGTTTTAAAGTTTTGAATACACTGAAATGAGCGTAACACGTGAATTTAGCATTTCTCAGTTTTATTCGAGAACGAGTTTTAAAATGCCATGCCGAATAAAAAAATATCATGTATATTATTTTAAGTTAAGCGTATTTGTTACATATTAATTTTATTTGCTGTGACCACTTCCTATGTGCTCATTGTTTAGTCATTATGTCATTATAAGCGATACCTTTAATTGGCTGTAATTTATAATTCCATGAATAAATAAATAAATAATCATTGGGCTTACCCAGGTACTGTACTACATTCACTACCGCGAGCCAACAAAGAGCTTCGCGGAGGGCGAGGAAGTCAAGTCACCGTCGGAGATGACGCCGATGCTTTCTGCGCTGCAGTTTCACGCAGATCTACCGCACGAGACTGTGGTATGTTTACATCATAGTAATAAATAATTTTATATTTCAGTATTTTTAGTTCAATATCGAATATCGCCCGTAATGCAACAGTCTTAAAGTCCCGTCTAAACTAGTGTTCGAGGCTCCGGAGGCGTGCCATCACGTACAAGTTCTTGCTTTAAATTGTCTTGGCTTGAGCCCAGAGCACTCTGACGCCGGGTTGAATCGTCCCAAACATGACTACAATATTCCATACAAGATTTTACGAATCATACTAAATTGATATTTCACCATACAGCTAAACATTCCTTTGAGTCTGCCTCACTTACCATCGGGCGCAGGCGGCGGTGCCGCATGCGGTGCGTACGAAGACGCGCCATTGCCTCTGAGAGTCCACGACTGCAGCCTCGATCTGCAGATCATCTGTGATCAGCGCGGGTTGCTTTGCATTTGTCACCATTATCTTTACAAAGTGAGTTTTTTTACACTACTATTGTGAATTGGTAGACCGGTGGTAACCTAGCGGGAAAACGGTTGCTTTTCAAACAAGAGGTCGACCCCTTTGGTGTAGTGTCCACGTTGCATAAATTTTGCACTCTCAATTATATAATGGCGTAATTAAAAATTATCCGTTTTATAGAACTGACGAAAGAAATTTAAAACAAAAACATACGAAATAAGAAAAAATTAAATAACAGTCAGCTAGGAGCCGTGACCATGGGAGCTGTAAAAACCCTGAACGTTTGTTTGTTTGAAAATAATAAATATTCGCGATTTAGGTGCGAAAAATAGGCCGTAATGCTCAGACCACACAGAGTCGGCAGCGGAAGCGTTCCGGCCACGGGAATTTTTGTAATGTATGAGTTCAATGAACTCTGCCACACCGAAACGCGCGGCGGCCGCGTCGGGAACGCTTCTGCGGCCGCCTCTGTGTGGCCAGAGCATTAATGTAATGTATTGGACAACCAAACCAATGACCTGGTCTAGAAGTAGGTAATACCTTGATCAGAACCAATTTGGATAAGTTCATTTCCCAAATTGGTCCTAGCGGGAATCGAATCCGGGACCTCCTCATCCAGCGCTCATAGTGATAACCTTTATGCTACAGCGGGAAATCGTTAAATAAAATCTAATATGTTGTCGGGGATAGTGCAATTACGTAACTAGCATTTGATTATGAGTCTCCATTTTAGTGATTTAGTCGCCAAATCAAATTCGTTTAAATGTTGTGGCAAACAAATTAACGGGAATCTATTGTTATCAGTCCGTAGACAACATAAATTAATGCTTACTGTGCAAAACCGAAAGTCTGCCATTGAAATAACAAAGTAACAACGCTAAATTCCTCTCCTGTGAAATATACATATAATAATATAAGCGACGATATCGTTTTTGATTACATTTGTATACTTTTGTTATACTTTTTTTCTCCAGTCAAACGGTACATAAGATTGGTACTATGTAAGTTTTTTTAAAATCTATTTTGTCAGTTTCGAATTAAGTCACTTTATTGTTGAGGGTGATGTTTTTGAATGTTCGTTAAGTATTCGTTTCGCCATTGGTGAAAGAAAATATCGTGATGCAATCAGAAAATTACTCAACTATATCTTTAATTCTTTTAGCCTCTGGATGATTCGACCACCTCCTTAGTTCTAGAAGACAGCGCGGACTTGAAAGACTCCGGCGTTAACTTCGCCTACTCTATAACTCTATTGCAACATGGCGTGGTGGTACATAGCGTTGTGCCTGATCTCCCTTGGGCCTTGGCAAAGTCATTACGGCCTTCTTACACTCTTTATGAGGGTAAGTTTTTCTTGTTTACATTTTAGTTCTAAGTGCTATTGTTTACTTCATTTGCTTTTTAAAAAAAAGTTTGGCACCATTTCTATTTCTGCCACTAAGCAGTAATGTAGGCATTATTGCGTTCCGGTTTTGAAAGTAAGGCTGCTGGTAAAATTATAGACACAAGGGCCAGCGTCCTGATTTTGATTCAAATCGGTATTGAGCTGATCGGGTAGTCTCGAAATCAGAAGGGTTTCTGAGCGAGAAGATGAACCTATTCCTACTATATCTTTCTAATTTGTGAGTTAAATCACCTATTGTTCTGATTAGAAATGTCAAAAGTTTCCGATCGGCCAGTTGTGAATCGCAATTATGCGCCTCGACTCGGAAAAGACGCAGTTTCCAATCGGAAGAGGCAATCAAAATCAAGCTGCATGTCAAGAGTACTTTTAACCGACGCGTACTGTTGTCTCTGCCTATTCCATGGTATGGGAAAAGGGCGAAAAGTATAGTGTATGAATGAATTACTATTTTAGTATAATTTCCTTTTCTTCCGATAAATACGGAATTTTTTAAAGTACCAAGTGATGGGACGAACAAGACGTGCGCCTGGTGGTAAGCGACATGTCTATCCATAGCAGTTGCAGTGCCACTCAGAGCTTTACATCGCGAAGATCTTAGGGGCACTGACACTACGCCCGTCACACTGAGACATCAGTTGACAAATCTCATGTGCCTGTAATTTCACCAGCACCCTTACCCTTCCAAACCGGAACGCAGTAACGCTCATGTTACTGCTTGGCGGCAGAAATAGACAATCTCTTTCACAAGGAACTCTACTGCTACTCAAGCATTAGCTATTCCATATAGCAAATAAAATTAGGGTTATGATTTTTTTCTTAAAAAAAAATTAAAATATTTTTCAAATGCACGTAAGACGTTTTACCTTTCCAGCATTGATATGATCTTATTTTCCAACAGATAACCACCTGCTGGTAAACATTCCTATGCTATACACGCACCTCATCGACATAAGTGTTCACCATGAACCGTGCTGCCATATCGTCATAGCAGCCGAAGACAGCAACAGCGGTCCTTCCCTAGCTCCCATTCTCGGCTGGGGAGCCCATGCTATGGTCGACTTGAACACACTTGATGTTGTCACTATGAATGTAGCTGAGAAAGATTTGATTATGACTTTTAAGAATAACAACTCTGTGGAAAACAAGTTGGCCGTAATACATTACTTGATTCAACATGAAGGGAATTTAGATTTGGCTGAAGAGGTGAGGTTTGTTTGATTATTTTTTGCTAGCTCGGACCCAAAAACGTTTTCTTCCACGCTAGCGTGGCAAAGATATTTTACATTGGAACTTGAGGATGGACTGTGGTGCACGTAACTTTTTCTTTCGATGAAAAAATGAACATAGTGACACGTTCAAGTACGCGATTTGTCATACATTGTTTATGTAATATAAATTCGTTGGTGTATTTAATTCTTATTATTGTTCACATTAAATTGACAATGATAATTTTGTTTACACCTCACTAGCTCGGAAAGGCTTTCTTTCCCATTACAAATCTACGTGCAAAAGCGTTTTTTGCACGCTAACGTGGAAAAGGTTTTAGAAATTCGAACTTGCCGATGATCTGTGGTGCACCTAACTTTTTCTTTCGATGAAAAAAAAAGATAATGACACGTTCAACTATGCGATTCGTCGTTACCGTATATTATTATTGACATTAAATTAACAATGACAACGAATTATGTTTAGTAAATTATTTTAATTCGTCGAAGAACAAAAAATAATTTCAATAATCACTTAATCAAAAAGTAAAAGAGAATTGATGAGGTGTAAATTCAGAACGCATCCGAAGATAAACTTTTTCTTTTCATTAAAAAAGGTTTTATAGTTTTTTTCTTTCATCTACCATTTTCTTCGCTATAGTGAAGTGAAAAGTTGTGTGTTTCGCTCTTCTGCAAAGTTGATTTGCGTCTAGTGCCTTGAAACCCTCGCTAATCACGTTTCATAACAATCACTCGCGTCAAACAACAACTTTGCAGTCTTGCATAACAAATAACTTTTGTATTCATTTTCAATGACAATATTGTATAATTAGTTAATTCATTGATAATGAATTAACTAATAAATAATAAGCCGTGGTAGCCTAATTGTTTGATCTACCGGCTCTCAAGCCGTGGGTTCGAATCCGGTCTCGCACCTCAGAGTTTCTCGGAATTTATGTTCGAATTTATTTTCGGTGGAGGAAAAGATCGTGGTGATACCTGCTCGTCAAAGAAGTTTCATAACCCTCGGAAAACGTGTGTAATCGGTTGATGGGTTGATAATGATGATGCGAATTAAAAATTAATAACCAGTAATTAATAATTAATTTATTGATTCGGCTCTTAGAGAAGATCCGTGTCCAATAGTGGAACCTATAATAAGTTATAATGATTAGAGTTGCAACAAATATTCGGTTACTATTCGGTATTCGGCTTATTCGGCCTATTTTTTGCTATTCGGCCGAATACCGAAAATAAAATATCTATTCGGCCGAATACCTAAAAATAAGAAGATATAGTAAATTATCACAAATAGTAACTTCTATGAGATCAAAACAAGGTAACAAATAAAATGAACCCTACCTACTTATTTTATAATTTTGTCATGAAGTCATGATTAAATAAACGCTAACAAAATCAACCTAGTGCTTATTATTTGCAAATGAAAATAAAATTAAGTTTTTGAAAGTTAATCAAACTGAAGTGAAATAAACAATTACTTTCTTGGTTAAGATGTCATAAATTTAAATTGTAAACTTGAAAATAATATTCGCTTTTTTGTTTCTTTTTACAAAATGCATCATTACTGATTTAATTTAACTTGTATATATATGTATGTATAGCTAGCTTTGCTGGGATGCGGTTTGCGCGCCAATTTTCGTAAATTAATTAATCAGGCCGAATAATCGGTATTCGGCCTGAAGAAATACTATTATACTAATTATACTAATACGGCGAAATACTATTCGTTGCAACACTAATAATGATGTTGATGACTCCGAATTAGTTCACAGATTTTAAGAACACTATATAACATATGAGAGCAATCATGACTCGAACATTATTGCGGAATAAATATAACAAATATTTTGCTACATGTATATTTAGTAGCAATAGAGCCCCTTGTGAAAGAGTTCGTCTAGGGAATTACTGCCATCTTACCTATTTCTGCCGCCAAGCAGTAATGTTAGCATTACTGTGTTCCGGTTTTGAAGGGTGAGGGTGCCGGTGAAATTACAGACACATGGGACTTGTCAACTTATGTCTCAGGGTGTCGGGCGCCGTGGCAGTGCCCCTCAGATCTTTGCGGTTTAAAGCTCTGAGTGGCACTGCAACTGTTATGGACAGGCGCGAGCTTACCATCAGGTGCACGACTTGTTCGTCCTATCACTTGATGTTATAAAAAAAAATGTTAATGAAAGTGTACCTTGTTTTATTCGCCAGCTGATATCGTGGCTATGCGTGAACCAACGGACGTGCGTGTCGGGCGACGTGCAGCGCTGCATGCAGGAGTACCTAGTGGGCGCCACTTTCGCTGTTACACGACGCGCGTTGCCCAATACTGCGATGCCTTTGATGCGGATGCTGCCTTTTACCATGCACCTTAAGTTCGCTGACGTTAAGGTAATTTCGTAATAGGGTAATTATCTAAGTACTGTATAATGTGTTATGTTACGTATGTAAAGGTCACCAAAGAGCAATGCCTGATGGTGATTTATGCGTAACAATGTCAAAATAGTGTCGGCCCATTTAGATACACGGCAGCGTGTTTGCCGAGTTTAGAATTTTGTAGCAGTAAAGCTCTTGTGATAGAGTTCGTCCAGAAAGTACCACCTTAACTATTTTTGCCACCAAGCAGTAATGTACGCATTACTGCTGTTAAGTTTGGAAGGATAAGGGTCCTGGTGAAATTACAGGCACACGGGAATGAATGATAAGTTACGAGAGCTTTAAATTGCAAATATCTGAAGGGTACTGCCACTTAGCCCGTCACCATGAGACATGACGTTGACAAGTCTGATGTTTCTATAATTTCACCAGCACCCTTATTGCTTTCATTATATCAGGGGTACGATTTGCGTGCACAGGTTCGCGATTTGTGCGTGTCTGTGTGTATGGAGAAGTTATGGAACAGCAGTGCAGTGGTGCTGGCAGCACGACAGCGTGTGTGCCAGTTCGTGGAGGACGTGTGGACGCGGCTTTGGACCGCGTTGAATACTCCTCCGCGCAACCGCTTGACGCCACAAGCGGTGCTTGACAAGTTAAGAGTCAGCTTATACTGCTATCAGGTAAGTGGGCTACCCCTATTCCTGTGCTGTAGAGAAAATACCATAGTGAAGAAATTTCGAAACAATATGGCCAATTGGGCAAAAAAAGTTGTTAGTAAAGAGAAAAAAGAGGCCGTAACAAAAAAAAGAACATCTTCAAGAAGAAAAACAAAATCTGAATGCGACGCCAAGAAATTATTAAAGAACGATTCAAAATTTAAAAACGAGTTGCCAGGAAGCAGAGAAATGGCGATAAAAAGGTGGGATGACGATGTAAGGAGGTCACATCGTCCGACGCTGGTTCGAATCCAGCCGGATCGAAGGAATTTTTTCGACCTTTAAATAAAAATAAATAAAAATCATTTATTTCCGACAATGTAGTCCATACGAGTTTGTAAGTTAGTAACATGACACCTTATACCTATGTTAGTATTAGGATTAGTACACAATCACAAAAATAATACCTAGTAATTAGTTACAAATATAAGAAACAGGACGAAACCAGCCACCCAGATGATTCACTGACTCACACGTAGAACATGCAACTCAGTGAACCTCCGGAACACAGCTGCATCCATCTTTTGTGTTAATAATTATAACAAACTATAATCCATTTCAATAGGGATGAGTTCTGTGACACTTCTAATTTTTACGTTCCACGCATACGACTTATAACTAATCTGTCAACCAGGTTACAAAAATAAATAGTAAATTTGTTATAATGTACCAAAATCAAACAACATTTGTTGTAGACGTAATTTTTAAGTAAAAATTGTGGTATATTATGTAGATAGAAAATGAAATAATAAATAACCCCAACTGCTTGACGCGTATAACTGATTATTTATCCATAGAGATTTACACCATAGAATCGATAAATCGAGTCGGCTTTTGTATGACTCGTGTCAATACGAGACATTTACATACCTTGTTAGCGGGTTTTTGTTTTGCGTGATCTTTTTGGAGTAATTGTTCAAATTCCGTTTCGTTGCTGTTGATTTTATGCTTTATTGTTGACGTTTTGTTTGGTTGCATAGTTTTTAGGGATAGACACAACATAAATTACCCTAATTACTTAAAGTGTAAAACGAAATACTTATCCATAGATATTTACACCATTACTTTGTTCATTAGTTGTTCTTAAATTATTTTCTGTAAATCGATTCCCTCTTCGTTACAAATTATCTCGATAATTTAAATCGTTTTTTTTTCATGCAATTTAACATCACTACATCTCTAGAAACTTCAAATTTCAAACGTCATCGGAATCATCCCTATTGAAATGGACTATAGTGGATGAATTTAAAAAAAATAATTTAATATCATTGTGGTCAAACATAGTGACATTCAATAAACTTAAAAAAATTACAATATCGCACTGTTAATACAATAATGTATTAACTCGAAAAATGTATTTTTTCAGAATCGATAAAAAATTACTTACTTGGCGTGAAATTTTTTTAAATGTATGTGTAGTTAAAAGTTTTTAACAGACGTCTAAACAATTTCCTACTTGTCAAATATATTTAAAAATAAAAAGGAAAAAATAATTTTATATTTTTGAGTAAGGCATGTTTTGTCCGGAACTAAGTAACAAAAAGTTTGCGTCATTTTGAGTTAAGTATATATCTAATTTAATTATTTCTTACAATATTCGAACAACAGTTTTATTGACGGGTAGAGAAATAAATTTTACATCCAGCAAAATAGTATAGATAATCTTGAATTTCACATATTTTGAGTTACAACACTAATGTAGTATTCTCACGATGTCTTCGTAAAGACAGTAGAGATGGTACTGTCGCAGACAAATTCAATTACAATACAAATATTGCACACGACAAATATAAAACAAAAAAGGCAGGGTATGGCAGCTATTATTGCCAGATAGCAATTTCTTCCAGGCACTAAATCATTGGTCCACTTTATAGTCATTACAATAGGTTAATTACTTGTCGCAGTGATGAAGAAATTCTTTGGCTCTTGATACGGCCACCTAAATAACGAATAGGGTCAGGTGGGGTAAGAGGAACACCGGGGGAAGAGGGACTTGAAGCCTTAACACTTTCATTCCCCCATATAAAGGCCGAAATGAACTCGTAAGTCCACCGGAATTTGTGTGAAATAGTGTTAGTTTTGTCTCTTAATCTTTAATTATAAACCTACATCGAGTATTTAACCAGAAATAGAGACGAAATGTCATTTAATTTGTTTGAAAACTATTCTGCCATATCATTACTGTAACTACTGCGCTCTGATTGGCCAGCCCGAATTCGAAACAATTGACGGGTGTCGTCATTTGTTTCACTCCAAATCGACTAGTTAACTTGAGCTTTGCTATAATGGACGAAAAATTGCAAAATTACGTATTTAATTACTGATGAAATTTGATTCCGTTTGTTTTATAATTAGGTGTTTTGCTGTTTTTCCCTACACCACCGAATGAAACAGGACGCCATTGTTAGAGAGATTATTTTTATTACAATATATACAGAATATTTTTGGAATATACGGAGACGTACTCACAGGTCAGTTGTTGGCGCTGTCTATATTTCAGTGCAAACGAGATTTGATATTTATTAGTGATGTATCACTTATGAGTTACCAGGAATATTTGGCTTTTATTTTACTCGATGTATAGCTATAAAATATCCAAATTATTTTGTTAATTATGAAAAATTACATCTATAAAAGACTACCCAATTCAAAATGCTTTGATCTACAAGTCCAACCAAAGCATTTGACATTGAAGTAGTAAGTATGTAATTGCAATTCCATGGATACCTATGGCGTGGACTTATGGTTGAAGCCAATTTGCGGCTCCAGGTGGAGTCATGCACTGTGAACGTGTTAACTCCTAAACAGTTTAGCGCTGTAGTCATATGTTATAATACAAGTTTAGTGTACTTCAAAATTTTTATAACATTTTATTTGTTCTGCCTAGAGTTCAAAATCACTTGACCCAAAGTCCTCTTAACCGACCTGGCTATACATTATAACAGTATACGAATATAAAAAATTTCCTAATTGCGACACAAATTGCAAGGGCGGCAAGTGGGCAATTACGAACTGAGACTTGATAATCACAGTACAGAGTAGTAAAAAAACCGACCTCAAAAGTATTTGCCAAATTTTTTTGAAATCGGTTACCGGAAAGTGCGCAAACCCGGACTCATCCCCTAATTCGCCACTATACGGAACTTGACACAGGAGATAATAAAAAATCGGTTCTCACTAGTCAAAGTATATTGAGAGAAAAACGCCTTGAATTAGAGAATAGCAAAATCAACCATTAAAATAATTACTCCTTATAATAAAATCTAGGCGCTATTGAACATCCACTCTTAGAGGTGGATGATTTTCTTCAAAATTAAATGGCACTATACTCTCCCCAACAAAAAGAGAATCATGAAAATCGGTGCACAAATACCGGAGTTATCGCGTAACATACATACAAAAAAAATCATACGCTCGAAATGAGAACTTCCTCCTTTTTTTGAAGTCGGTTAAATGGTTTAAATGGCCCAAATGTTTGTAATTTTTGTACCACTCGTATGGCATACAATGTTTTTTATCACATTTGCGAGAAACAATCAGTACAGATAAATAAATAAATAATCAGTACAGAGTACTAAAAAACCGACCTCAAAAGTCATTCACGTCGTACTTTGCCACCCTTAGAGGTGGAATATTGTCTTCTTTAAGTGGGACCACTTCGGAGGTATCCTCTTTCCAACAACACCAAAAAAGAATCATCAAAATTGGTTCACAAATTTTATAGAGTTATCGCGTGACATACGTACGAAAAAAAATACAGTCGAATTGATAACCTCCTTTTTTTGAAATCGGTTAAAAAACTAAAAAAAAACAGACTGTATATGAATAAAAATTGATACTAATTAGCTAACTGTCAAAATAAGAATAAAGAAGGCAATAACGGAATTACTAATCATTAGAACGTCGTAATATTCACAATTCAGTCATTATAACTTAATAATTTAACTGCCCTCTGTGGCCGAACGGTTACCTAGCCGGACTGCCACGCAAAAGTCCCAGGTTCGACTCCCGGGCCGGAAGAAATATTTGTATGGCCTATATTTGTTTCTCTCGTCAGTTTGGGTGTAATTTGTGGTTGTCTATATGCGTGTCCATAGCACCCGCGACACAGGGTTTCTCTAGTGCGGGGCTAAGTTCAGTGTGTACATTATTATTATTATGAAAAAAAAAACTATTTTTTTGCAGCCCTGAAAAGGGCTTTAATAAAGTCATCATCGGTCAAAAACCGAATAGTATAAATTTTAATTTATAAAAATCAACCTACATTTAAAATTACATACATTAAAATTTTTATAAAAACTGGCAACCCTACAAATGTCATTTTACTCCCTCTTCAAAAAACAGACTATAACCCTTCTGAATTAGTCCTGATCTGGATGTTCCGGGTTAGTTAGTTCTGTTGGTCAGGTACTCATAGTACAGGGAAATCGTAATTAGAGGCCAAGTGTCGGTGTGGTTATCTGACACTCTAATAATTACTACGCAACTGTAGCGACACAGTGTCATCTCTAACTTTACCGTTCGTATCTAACCAGCCCGAGGCACTGTCACGGTGCAGTACGCCGATGTCCCCCACCGCTTCTGCCCCGTCAATTTCGGCTCCGCAGCGGCGATCCTCCATCGGCACTGGGCAGGAGCTGCTGCCGTTCTTTGAAGTCGACGTTTGTACTGCTAGCAAACAAGAGCATGTTATTGCCGCGGTAAGTGTTATTAAATTTCAATCGTATACTTGAGAGAATCTTTGTTAATTAACTCTAAATTAAACGTCGTTGCTCTCCTGACCAAAGTACCGGCACGCTATGATGGCCGTTTTGACGTTTGTCCGCTCATCAAGTTTCTTATTAATTCATAACTACGTTGAAAGAGGTAATTGATGTATGTACATCCATTATTGTCAATAGTGACGTGCAGTAAAGTTTATGGAAGGTATAATTTTACGACACAACTCGGCATTTGTTTTTCGAAATACGAAATTTAAAAAAATTAAATCTAATGCGGTCGTCACTTATAAGGTCGCCGGCAAAGTCGCGTCAAGGCTCAATGCAAAACAAAGCAGTCTCGAATTGACGGTGATTTCACGGTTTTAACCCGGCGCTTTGTTAATGTCTAATGTTAATGGTTTTTTTTTGTTTAAATCGGGTTTAAACCTATTAACGTCCTTAATCGAGGGCAAAAATAGTTACCACTAAAGTTTTGTTATAATTTAATGATATTATTACAACATGTTTATTGCTTTCTGATGTAGACGATTCGATTTACCTTATTGTTATATATATATATATATATATATATATTAATTATCTCCTTATATACATATATATATCTCCTTAGAATAATAACGCATAGAAACCTAGTCCGTACACGCTAAGTGAGGCAAATTGAAGCGCCCCCAAAGGGCCTACAGGAGCGGATGGGCCTTCAGTGCTCAAGGTCAACTTGCACCGCGAACAGCTCCAGAATTTTAGCTAAAAATGACGAAATGTGCGGTAAATGAGTGTAAAAATACGTCAGACAAACATAAAATAGATAATAACATCACATTCCATTCACATTCATTGTATTTTTATATTAATATTCACTAAAACCGAAAATTAACCTACTACTAAAACTAGCCTACATAAAAAAATAAAATAAAAAATAAAAAGTGTTTATTTACGTTTTCTTAAACCTAGTTTACAGCAAGTTTGCAGGGGAACTCCTTTTAAGCAAACTAATTGCTTGTGCTAGGAGACCCCGCTCTTCCTAGTTAGGGTACTATGTGACCAGGTAAGTTAGGTAAGCTTAGGTAACTTAGCTAATCTAGATTAATTAAAATTACCTACATGAATTTGATTTTTGCCTCACTTGTGACAGTTCGTTTGATATGAAACTATCATTCTATGCGTTATTATTCTAAGATTATCTCATATGACCTATTATTGTTCACCGGGTATACCTAATTTTTGTGGAGGAAATAAAGAAATTTATTATTATTATTATATAAATGATATTTTTGGTTCGAAAGAATTATTATTATTCTATAGAATCCATTCGTTTGAAAATCGCATCGAAATAAATCCACCACAAGGCGTGGGTAGTCTTTTAGGACCTTTAGGATGTTGAGTCTGTTTGTAGTAAGTAGTTTTATATTTGGAAACAAAATGTATCTTCTGCATATACAAAGGTTAATAGCATTTACCTTGCACTGACACATTAATAAACCACAGAACCTACGCGAAGTGAGCGTACATCTCATGCGTGAGACGTCAAACCAAACCGGGTCAGGTCCCACCGGTGGGACGGGTGGGCGAGGCGTGGAGAGCGGCGTCCACGCCTTGGCTACACGCTGGGCGTCAGCGCAGTTGGACGCGTCACGAGCCTTGTGCAGAGCCATCTGCCGAGCACTCGCCGCTACTCCTGCGCACAATCAGCAACGTGGCTTCACTTTCATGTATGGTTAACATAATGAATTGAGGAGTATCTTGTGTTCACTTTTCGCTTTTTTTTATTTTTTTTTGGCGTGTTTTTTGTTTTTAGGATAATGGTGTGTTTTGCTTATTTATTAGGCTTTCTTTGTGTTTCATGTTGTTGGTTTTTGAGTTTGTTTTGTGTAGTTGAAAACTTTTTTGAAACGTTCTTAAATTTTCTTTATGGTTTCGATAGTTTTCAACTTTTTTGTTTGGTCATCATAATTTTTATGTGTGTTGTTTTTATTATGGTTTCTCATCGTCACCGTTGTTGTAGTCATATTATGGTAATATTTTCATTTATATTTTTTTTTACATTTATAAAAAAGGGATATATATGCAATTTTGATTACTTTTCATATTGATGGAATTGGTTATGTTTTCCTTTTCTTAAGAGCGGTGGTAGTTTAGTGGAAAAACAGTTGCTTTTCAATTGAAAGGTCTACGGTTCGACCTGTGGCGAAACCTATGACTTTACTTTGTAAGTTACGTAAGTTTGTGAACGTTTTATGTAGCATTATCTCTCGCCAAAGACAATTTCTCCACAAAACATAGGAAATACAATACTTAAAAACTAATAGAAAATAAAATTGAGTTACAGCTATTGAGAAAATCTAAATTTTTTTCTTAGTTTTCGATCTTTATATTAATAATTATAACAAAGTAGTGGAGTAATTTCACGAAAATGATTGAATATCATGGTGGTCAAACGTCGTTACATTCAACGAACTTAAAAATTACAATACAATTGAGTGATGTGGACAACAAGGTTTGAAGACTTCAGCAGTACTGATTTTCAGTCTTCATCTGTAGCTAAGCTGTTCGTTTGCTGCACCAAGCCAATATGCCGAGTATACACCAAGTAATAACCTATCTTAAGTGATAACTAGTAATAAGTTAAAGTTTAAAGGCTGTCCTTGTAAAGTTATCTTTTTTAACCTAAAATTTAAATATCGAATTCTTAGGTTTTCGCGATTGTTACACATAGGAAATGAAATTCATTTTTCCGGATTTAAATGGCGTATATTTGTTTTTCAAACACACCAACGGTTTGGGCGTAAATTATAAAAAAAAATTATATATTTCATAAATTGGATCGCGCACTTCGATATACCAATATTACAAATTTACACCTTACGGAGTTATGTTAAGATTTGTTTTAAGTATAAAACAGAAGCATGTGAGATAGATCGAAGTAGTGGTCTGTCCTTGTCTAACAAGTTGCCAACGCTAAATAAAATCATTTTAGGTAGTGTGAGTCTATTAACTTTTTTAAATTGCTAAATAAATGCTTTCACTGTAATAATACAAAAAACATATCAACAATAAAACCTTCTATTATGCAGTAGCATATCAAATAAGTATACTAATTTGTATTATGAAATAATATTAGTAGTTTTGGTCATCCATAAGCGGCCAAATTTTCAGTAAAAATTAAAAAGTTACAAACAATATGGCTGGCTGAAAAATAAATGAACACCCTATTAGAAAGAGACACATTACTACTCTGAAGCCTTTCACTCGGCTCGTTTTATTAAGTTAGTGCGCGGTCCAGTTTAATATACAAGTCCGTGGTTGCACGTCGAAGAAGGTTCACTACTATTGGAAAATGCATGAAGTCTCTTTGCTGTACACACACCTTTATTTATTGTTTCAGCAACAGCTTAACATACTTAACATTTACATGCATTATTATGATTATATAAGACTAGTATATGAGCCAATTACAGCCGAATTGTCTCACTTAAAAACAACATAATTAAAATAATAAACTATTTACACATTGGAAATGAAACTATTTTTCCGGTTTTAAATCGCGTATATTTGTTTTTTCAAACAAACCGACGTTTCGGGCCCTTTACAGGTCCCATTTTTAGTTTATTCTAATTTCTATTAATAATTAATAATAAATTAAACTTGATTTCATTCAATAAATAATTTGTAAAACTTAATGTAGCGTAAATTGGAATGTTTTCTTTGTAAAATTAAAAATAAGGTATTTTATTAATAACTATTGTAACTATAGTGAAAAAATAGGGTGGTTTGCATTAATATTAGACATAACTGGTTGAAGACTGTACCACCTCAAGTAACCGTGACCATGAGACCCGTAAAGGGCCCGAAACGTCGGTTTGTTTGAAAAAACAAATATACGCGATTTAAATCCGGAAAAATAGTTTCATTTCCTATGTGTAACAATCGCGAAAACCTAAGAACTCGGTATTTACACATTATTGAAGAATATACATTTAATTCCTATTGTTTACGTCAGGTTAAATTTCAAATAAAAATATACATAAAAACAAAAAAGAAATCAATTATCTACCAATATTTGACGTGTGCCGCGACAACTTTGTCCTTATGTCGGGGTAAGTAAAACTTACCACCAGTACCAGTGGTTGGAGATTTTGTGAACATTTTCCATATGCGAGAGGTGTTGCTACTAAATATTAATAAATTTAACTTCATAGGTACGAACTCTCAGTTAAGAAGCAAACTGTCTCTAGGCCAGTGTTTCTTAACCTGTGGTCCATGGCCTAAGGGGTTCGTGTAATGAATGCCGGGGGTCCGTGGCGAGCCTACGTAATATAATGGAACAGCAACCGTCACACTAACTATTCATATGAAATTAAGTTTTAATCGCAAACAGTATACGCTATTAAGCTATAAAAAATAATGATAAATCCATTGACTTACAATTATATGGACGTCGGGTCCGCGCTAAAAAGTGTCCAAACTTATTGGGCGTTAAAATCGTATACAGAGCGTCATTCACGCTTTAGTCTTCGTTTGTTCGACTGACAGCGAAGCAAGCAAAATTAGACAGTACTGCGATGACATTACAATTTAAATTCAACGTTTTAGCTTTTTCATATTCCTTTACATGTCACTACGTTAAAATAGGTTTACTTGGGACATTTTTTTCGTGGTTTTTGTATTAGACCCGTCAATAAATCAATAAATAATATTATAATCATTGAGTTTTCTTTTTTCTAGCGATGAAATGGAGCCGGCACACGCGTTCATCCTTTTCAAAGTTCTCGAGCAATATTATTTAGCCACAGAGTCAGCTGCGTTCCCTCTGCCACAAGGCTTTAGTTCTTTCTTCACTTACCTCGGATACCGTGCACTGCCCTTCCACACCTTCGTGCAACATGTGCATCGCAGCGTGCTGGAGTTGCAGATTGATGTAGTCAAGGCTATCATTGCTTGTGAGTATTGTGAATAGGCTGTGATAGTCGAATAGGCCGTGGGTTTGAATTCGGGTTCGAAGCAGCGAGTTTTTCGGAATTTATGTGAGAAATTTAATTCCATGTTTACCATGAGCTTTTCGGAGAAGGTAAACGTCGGAAAGGATCCTGCACGGCGAAGAAGATCCCCAACCCGTATTGAACCAGCGTGGGGGGACTGTGTCCTAAACTCTCACCTGAGGGAGTCCCGTACCCGTCAGTGGAACATATAAATGAGTTGATGATAATTAATAGGACAATTTCTATTTATTTATTTAACATTTGTAACACAACAGTTGTAGTACCAGTAAAGGTCCTTGTGAAAGAGTTTGTCCAGGGAAGTACTGCCACCTTACCTATTTCTGCCGCTAACCAGTAACGTCAGCATTACTGTGTTCCGGTTTTGAAGGGTAAAGGTGCTGGTGAAATTACAGGCACATGGGACTTGTCAACTTGTGTCTCAGGGGGACGGGCGCTGTGGTAGTGCCCCTCAGGCACAGTTATTTTATTTTTTACTTTATTTATTTATTTCATTGATACGGCTATTTTTACAGGACCATCCCAATAGAATAGTGTAGCATTCCGTATGGTCACAATCACATGACATAACTAAAAACATTATAACTAAAAATAATGATCTGATTATTGAAAATTAATAACAATTAATTAAGGCCAATTTATAATAAACCACAATAATGAATAACATACAATGAAATTTAATTAATTATGTACAAAGCAAAAACAGTGTTAGTTATGGATAGGCGTTTGGCTTACCATCTGGCGCACGACCTTTTAGTCTCGTCACTTGATATTATAAAAAAAACAACAACCTATTAAAATCCAAGTCACTACAAACAGAAATTACAACAAGAAAATAAATAATACATACATACATATATAATAATATATCTGTCAAGACTCGAACCTGCGTCTGTATGCCAAACAGGGCCATTGCTCTACGAACTGAGCTACAGATCGAGTCAGCCACATGACCCATATAATACACCTTAAGGACTAACATACGTACAATATAATAAAACACTATTTGTAACTTATCTACACGAAATGCATTTGTCGGCGAACGTGTGGCGCAATCTGGTGTCAGGTAACCGGCACATGACACCCTTCGGCCAAAATTCCTCCTTCATGAAGGTCGACAGACGTTCGGTCGACACTCTCACCACAAACGAATTAAAATAAACGTTGTGGTGGAACTCCAACCGCTGGACCCTCATTTTTGGCTTTGTCATAGATCTTTTGTATTGGGTTTTTTCGACTTTCATTGTCATATGGAAATACTTCCCTGGACGAACAATCTAACATGGAATTCTAGTGTTGTTTACGCAATCTTTGACATTTGTTTCCGTTATAACCAGTGATCGGAATTGAAGGTGTTAATCTATCTAAAGTATGAACGTTTTCTTAGAATGGACATACCCACTTCGTCATTAACGCGTATAAAATTTCTTTTTTTGCTGTTTATTTTCTAAATGTTCCAAATGTTGATAGTCTAATGTTTATTTTTTAAATAGCTAAAGTATTTAAAATCGTAAGTATCTATAGAAATACCACTACAATATTATTTTTTGAGCCAATAATTTCTAGCAAATACTTAATAGAAAGTATTGATTTGTCGCCAATGTACTTAAATTTCAATGAATAACACGCATATTCAAATATAACTGGTTAGTTCCGAGAAGTCCCGGTATTTGTAGAATGTGTAGCGATTATATTATTATTAAGAATTTATAATAAATGTAATTGCTGACTAGCTGTTACTTTTGAATAAATAAATAAGTAAGGCCATGATAAGGCTGCCTTTCACCTTCGGCTATTTCCACCGAGCCGAAAGCGCATCCCTGCGTACTCGGTTTTTTAACTGGTTATGGCTTGAACCGATCTCGTGGCAAGACGTTACTTTCTTTGCGTAACATAATAATCTTGTATTACTTCTATTACCATAGCAAAAATCCGTATAAAGGGAATGTCCACGTTATTATTTAGTTTAGTTAAATTGGACGTAGTTAAACAAAAAGGATCCAATGCACATCCAGTCACTTTCGAGATATGGCAGTTTAAAGTTTAAAAGTGTTTCTCACTCTTGTTTTACTTTCAAAACTTATAATGTTATGTAACTTCAGAGATATTTATATGTTGGTTTTTTTGCCGATCTCTTAGACCTTTAAACCTCTTAGGTTAGACTTTAGGAACCGTTTGGTACATATAAATAATTTTTTTGATAATTTTGTGGATTGTTTTTGCCTTCTTCCTCAATTCCGATCATTGGTTATGACACTTCCGTTGCATGACTAATGCTAGTGTGAGTATTTCCTGCTCGTCGCAGCCAAAGACGACGACAACAAAACGACGGTGAACAACAAGCTGCGGCTGATCCAGCTGGTGGGCGAAGGCCGCGCCCGGCGCGCGCTGGCGGCGTGGCCCAGCAAGGCGGCGCTGGGGCTCCGGGCCCGGGACCACGCCGCCACGCTGCTCAGCGGCGGGGGCGCGGGGGGGCACCTCGAGCAGACGAGGCATCGGCCCGTTAGAGATACTGCTGGTTAGTACACGCCAGCCCCGTAGTGTGCCACCGCGATAAAGCTATTATATCTACATTTAGCTGTCAAATTCGAGTGATAAACCGAAATTTTAAAATTTTATCACAATAGCGAACATGGCGAGTACCGTGACGTCATATTTTTATGTCATCACGAGGGCCGGCAACCAATGACTTCAAAAGATTAACACAGTGCCAAACATGTCTGCAAGGTTGCAGCTGATTTAAAAACATTTGCATAGTAATTTTATCAACGTAAAAATTGAGCGCGACAAACGAAATGAAAAGACATTTTTTGTTTCATGATTTTCGCGGCAATGATTAAACGACAAAGATAGCTATATACGCAATTTTATATCGTAGTCCTTATTCTACAAAATGTGTAACAATGTAATTACCAAATAAGCTAACTTAGATTTATCAACTGAATTAAATATTGTCACGGGGAGGTTTATCACACATATTCTGACATGCCAAGGCCACTTAAAGACTGGTCGGTAAAATTAAGACGACATAAATTTGCAGCACCGTTCTACAAGGTGCTACTGAACAGGGCCCAAGTATGCCAATTTGAAATCATCTTACTTGTGTGTTGATAAGAGTGTCAATGCCAGGATTTTGTACTTGGTATTCTACTAAAAGTTAAGAGCAGTGTAGTAGTAGTAATCCCTTAAAGCGCAAGTCACACCGCGAACGAAGCTGGCTAACTTAGCTTAGCTCACGTCATCGAGTATATAACCAGAAATAGAGACAAAATGTCATTTAATTTGTTTGAAAACTATTCTGCGACAACTGCACTCCGATTGGCCAGCCCGAATTCGAAACAATCGACGGGTGTCGTCAATTGTTTCACTTCAAAACGACCAACTTTAAGTTTTTAACTTTAAGTTTAACTTGAGCTTTGCTATAATGGACGAAAATTGCAAAATCACATAATTAATATTTAATTACCGATAAAATGTAATTCCGTTTGTTTTGTAATTAGATATTTTGCTGTTTTTTCCACATCACCGAATGGAACAGCCCCCCATAGTAAGATATTATCTTTATTACAATAAATACAGAATATTTTTGGAATATACGGATAAGTACACACAGGTCAGTTGGGTTCAGAAGGGCGACATATTTTACATAGCTAGCGGGATCGTTGGCTTAGTTTAGGTAACTCGTTTAGCTTCGTTCGCTGTGTGAACCAAGGTATGAAAAAATTCCCTGGATACGTGAGCTAAGTTAGCTTATCGAGGTCTTAGGTTTTCGCGATTGTTACACATAGGAAATGAAACTATTTTTCCGGATTTAAATCGCGTATATTTGTTTTTTCAAACAAACCGACGTTTCGGGCCCTTTACAGGTCCCATGGTCACGGTCGACCAACCGTTTCATTTCCTAAGTTTCGTTCGCGGTATGGCCTGCGCTTATCGCAGCGCAATTCTTACGTAACTTTGGATTGCGGTAGATAAAACTTATCGACTTGTGGAAACCGATGTGTGAGTCTCTCTGCTTCTACTTGGTAAGTTTTGATAATGAAACTTCCTTTTCTGCCCAGGGATAGCTGCCCTACCCTCAGGCGAACGTCTTTCTCCATTGGACACATTCTTGGACCTTCTTACGGCGAAGGCAAGCCTTAATGAGCTAGACTTCAATCTAATCATCGAAGCTACATTAGCTTCTGTGCAGCAGGATATATCATAATTTCCTATGTGAATCTAAATGTTTTTGAATAAGGCACATTTTTATGTCTAATTTTTGACCACTCAATTTTATTGAAAAAATTTAGTTCTTATATCGTCTCGATGTTTTGTACAAAAGGCGTAAGCGACATTTCGAAAAATTTTCAGGGGAGCATGTCAGGTTAGGCATGGTATGTTAGGTTTTAACGACTGGTTTAAAATATTTACGTCCCGTTTTAAAATTCAATTTTGGTTTTAATTAAGTTTAAGTTTTAAAATGGAATTTAAAACAGGTCGTAAATATTTTCAAACAATCGTGAAAACCAAAAACATGCTCACCTGAAAGTTTTTTCGAAATGTCGCTTATCATTTCTACAAAACATCTATATATCTATATATTTCGTGTAAATTATTATATTTATTTTCAAATCATAATTTTTCTTATAGTATTCATTCCTTTCCAATCTTAGATCTCCTGATCAATTTTCGCCAATTTTCTTACCCTTTGATATTGGCACAAAGTATTCTAGTTCTATTTATGAAAAAAAAAAGTGTTGCCTATACAGGTGATTTGTAAAATTCTAACAACCTCACAGGACTATATTATTAACAAAACAAACAACAAATTCTGCTCGATGACTTCTTATGAAACATAATAAATTTACCAAAAATAAAGGTAACAAATTGTTATACTATCTGCCACTTTTTACATCTGTATCTGGGTGTCTACTTCCGTTCTCGGTCGAAAACAATTACTGTCAAATAAGTATTACTCGACCTAATAGACCTAAAAGAGGCATGATGCGAATGAAGCTTCATACTTGACATTGCCCTTTGATTTGGTGGAGTATTTCTTATTTGACAGTAATCGTATTGCAGACCCCAGGGTAGTAACTTCAAAAATGCAAGCGTCCTCCCTGGCCGACGAAGCCCGACCCGCGCTCCCGCGCTTTACACAGTTATCACCATTTACAGTGGTTATACACGGCGACCTTTAGCAGCGCATGGCTACACTTGGGATTTATAGGCGATTGCATCTTGGCAGCTTAAAATCGCGCTAGTGTGTAAAGGCAGACTATTAGCGACTGCATCACGTTTGTATCGCTGCTAAATGTGACCTATTTAAATATTTTTGTATGAAAGTAAAGTACGATGAATTATGAAGCGAAGCAAAAGTTATTCTTTATGATGTTAGTAATTATAATCCGGTGAGGTTGTTAGTATTTTACAAATAAACCTATATACACATCATTTGCTTACAGTAAGGGATTACGGTTTCCATTTACTTTTAGTATAGTACGTACATGATAATGGTGGTACATAAAATGTAGAAGTCTTTTTTTGAATTGCTACATATGTAAGAGATCTCATGTTGATTGTTGCATTCCGTTGTCTTGTTATTTCGTCGCCTTACTGTCTTAAACTCGTATTTTAAAGCACAAATTTACTGAAATGCAGAAAATGGATTGTATATACAAATTTTGCAGGCTGATTTTATATGACATTTTCTTCGTTCAGTCGCAGAATGTCGTCCACTTCGAAAAATGTCTACCGCACGCAAAAAGTCCATTTCTCAGAATGTCCCTTTCGCAAAATGTTCCTTTGGCAGAATGTCCCTTTTTCGCCAATTGTACATACACTCCTTTTACTATCATAGAAAGGTGGGAAAAATTAAAAATAAATTGTTTTAAATATATATAAGGCAAATTATGAGTTTGTGTATTGGTAACATTCAAAACAATAAATATGAGGTTACTCAGGAAAATAAACGTAAATAATCTTATTTCGTTTATTAACTCATAATTTGCCTTATTATATAAATTTAAAACAATTTTTTTTCAACGTTTCTCACCGTTCTCTGATACTAAACGAAGTGTATGTACGTACAATTGGCGAAAAAGGGACATTCTGAGAAGTGGACTTTTTGCGTGCGGTAGAAATTTTGCGAAGTGGACATTCTGCGACTGAGCCATTTACTTCATATTTACTCACTGGCTTTTACCGATTCTAAATAAATGCATCCAATTTACAAAGTTTTGCCGTCTTCCTGAATAATCACTCTTTATAAGATACGAGTTAAAAAGTAAGGTATCGTTTTAGTATTTTTCTTATTTTATGATATTAGCAAAAATGTTTGTTGTTGTTTGATAGAGCTGGCTAGAGAAGGAAATACATTAGCATTTTCTCTACCAGCTACGCAAAGACACTTACTAAACGTGTTTTATATACGGTTTCGTATTTTAGTATAAAACCAACTTGCGTAGTTTAAGTTAGCCAATGATAAGCACAAAATATGGATCGGCTTTGTAACTGAACATTCCATTTTTCTATGTGCAATTTGTAGTGCAATATTTACGACTAAGTATTCACGTAGTGATTAAAATAAAATTACAAAAGTGTACTTATTTTAGTTATTTTCATTAACCTATATTATTATAATTTATAATTAAAACTAACGTTAATAGCATGATAAGACAAGTAGTGTAACTCGACACAAATGTAGCAGAGATTCGCACATTGGCATAATCTCGCCGTGTCGCACTCGCCATCATAAGAATTAAAGTGTTCGGTGTTTAAAATGTTTTTCTGTTGATTATTAATACAAACACCCGTCTGTAGAGATGAGGCTAGGTCCCTCGGAACGCTAAAAAGAGACTGACCCGCGGCACCCATTACCCCATCACGTGCCGGTAATCCAGAGTAGCCATAGCTTCATTAAAGATATATACCCTCTGGATGGGGAAACTAATCAGAGCCGAATAAGTCTCTGGAAGGAGAGATGTCCCACGGCATCACTCATCCCACAGTCGGAGCACCTTCTCCACTTTCTTCTTCACCTACTTCTCCACCTTCTGGGCATAATCTACCTTGGCAAACTTGGAAGTATCTAAATAGGCTGCAGACCCAAGGCGGCTGAAGCAAGGAATGTCAAGTCAAGGAAGTCAAGTTACCGAGCTGTCGAAATTCTCCTATTTGTTATGAGAGATATACTCAAGAAACTTTTCTGTGTTCGATCTTTGTATGAATAATCAGACAAAACCAGTGCAGTTATTTCACAAAAAATATCAATGATATTATGTTTTTCTGTGTCAAATTTATATATATATTTTTATTACTTATAAATGAATTATTCAATAAGTATCACAATACAAATTGGAATTTAATTTATATTTCATGATCAAAACTCCCATAATCGAGATACTGTGATACTGGTATAGAATATCAATATGTAAGTATAGTTTGAATTATTTCTTTAATCATCAGGCATTTTTTTAAACCTGTAGTACGACGTAAAATACCGAATACCGACTCTTTTCTTACTAATTCAACAAAGTTAGTTTCGCATAAAGATTATCAAGTTTAGAATTAAGTGCCAATGTGTAAAAATGTTTGCTCTATACAGATGGCACGTGCGTTACCGAGACGGCTCACTTTTTTGTCCTATTGTATTCTAAAGATGAAGCGATAAGACGAATCAGTGCAAATAATATTTCGCCAACTATACTGCATTTGACAAAGATTATTTCAACTGTGATGAATACCTTAATTTTTTCAAATTATGTTTTGCAATGTGTAAGTAATAATGTGACAACCCTAAGCACAAAGGCGGGAAGTGAACTACTTGTCCTATTGTACTAGGTTAATAGTCATTAATTGTAAAACGGATTGTAGGTAACCCAATGCGCTCTGGATTGTTCTTTATCACTCTTATGTGATGTGAAAAGGCTTTTGTATACTTCACTGCTTTGAGGATCTTTAGCTACACTGTAAGCCTTTTTTGTTTTCTTATAAGATGGATCTTCAGCTAATGCAGTAGGGAATGCTCGTTTTGAAGAACCAAAGTGACCTCTAGCTTGTTTGTTAGGGTTGAACTTAGGTAGAGATAGCGGAATTGTTTCAATTTCTTTCTTTGTAACTTGACTTGAACCAGCTTCCTCCTTTATGTCTTCTTTTTTTGTAGAAGATGTAGTTGGTGGACTGTCATTAGAAGTTGATGTTGATGGACTGTCATTAGATGTTGATGGGGTGGCAGGTTCAATTTTAACTTTATCAGCTTTGGTTTTTTTGCCATTTTTCCTATTAGCAACACGGACAGCCATCTTTTCTTTCAGTTTCTCCATATCTTCATCTGTTCCGTTTAGGACTGTAACATCATTATCGGTAAATGGTGTTTGGCACTGAAAAAGTAAAGTTTTTAATTGTAGACTACTCAGATATTAAAAACATATTGTATTGTCAGACAATTGAGCTGCTTTATCCATGTACAACAGCAGTACTAGCATAACAGGGCGCGACTTGCGCGAGAAGCGACACAAAAGCACGAGAATAATATCTTAGGGATACGTCTGCATACTTTAAATTAGAGTTGAGTTTTAAGTTATTATAATTTTTAATATTTACCATGTGACAAAGGTTCTGCTTAACCTCCTTCAAAGCCCTCTCAGCAAGCACACATCCACAACTCCACAGGAAGACAAAACGGAACTTGCCCGTCATCTCCAGGCCACTGATGGGACAGATGTAGGGGGCACTGCCATCACCAAATGCTCCCTCTGTGTGCTCTGTCACTTTGTAGGCTGGGTTCTTTGTGAGCTTTAAGTCTTTAATGTCCTGTAAATAAGTATATTGATCAGTAGAGTTCAAATCTATAATTAACCAGGATATGTATATGAATTTTTGACAGTTCACTGTGCTAAATACACAGGGGAGGCTGATGTGACTAGGACATCAAAGTATTATTAATATAACAATTAATTAGCACTACATGTAAGATTATTGCCATGGTAGCTGTGTCTTGGGTGATGTCGTATACTTCGATGAACTTGGTGGCCCAACAACTTGTGGACACTGGGTGAAGAGGTTGCAGGTTTGGTTCCCAGTCAAATTTGGGAAAAGAACATTTTGTGAAAATGAAATTGGTGCTATTTTGGATGTGGTAGGTAGTGCCCCAGAGTGAATTCTGTTGCTCTAGTACTCATAGTATAAGGCATTCCCTAGATTGAGACTAAAGTAATTGGTATAAGGTAATAAACTAAAAAGCACCGCAGCCACACCTCTACTAATTTTCATACAATATTAAGAAGCGCAGTTGCGACACGTGCGTGCCGCTTTTGCAGACACAATTAGTGAACTAAAAATTAATGAAGTGCTACAGACGCGCGGCTGCAGCGCATCTACATCCGTCCATAACTATTTGAAGATGACTCAATCCTAAAGCACAAAAATAATAAAGAATTCATAACATTTTTAGACACCGAAACTTTACATTAAAGCTCAACTCACACCGGCGCTGAGTCGAAGTGTCGCGACGTGTCATGTTTTTCGCCTATACCATATTCATCTCTATTGTCCCAATACTTGGGTACAAAATTTGTGTTATGCAAATATGGATTCAAGCGCCGATGCTTAGTTGCAGTGAGACGTCAGACGCCGACCACACTGTGATCCGGGCACACTAGTGCGAGCGTCGTCGCGCGTCACCAGGCCTTGTAGTTAAAAAACGCGATGCGACGCTTCGACTCTGCGCCAGTGTGAGTTGCGCCTTACAATTTCATGTAAATTGCAATCATGTAGTGTCAAATCAGCTGTGTAAAATATTTAACTATCTGACGTATGAAGTGGTGATTAAAAAGATGAACTATCTCACCTTGAGATTCTTGATGTGGTTGATAGACTCCGGTTTAGTTTCTTTATCTAATAACGATTCAAGCACGGAACTTTTGCTGTATAGACGTCCGAGGCCACAGGCTACTACAGGCTCTTGCAAAGGCTGCTGCGATAACGCACAGTTGCGCCACTTGAAGGAGCGTTCTGCATCTTTATCTTTCTGTAGAAAAAGCACAATAACATTCGAAAATGATTAACACAAAAAGTACAAAAATTCGTCGTCAAGTAGTGTACATGGTGTGATGGTTACTTACTTGCTCTGGCTTTTTTTTCATTCGCACGAGCTCATCTCGACGAGGAATAGTTCCGCCGTCACAACCCATTATGGATTTTTATTAAAATCACTTTGTAATTGAAATTATTTGGTAAATATTTACAAATTTGTATAATAGAAGTTCTTAATTGTACATGTAAATCAGTCGCCATTGATTGATTTGAACGAATGAAGTTGAATGAATTAATGACGTCGATGTCACGGCATGACAAACGTCAGGTCATAGACAAAATGAGTTTTTTATTTAAATCGACTGACTGAGTGCAATGTGTGTATCCAATTAGTCTAAACTTCAAAATCACATGAGGTGTTTTCAGACTACAGTGAATGAATTGTATTCTTTATAGATTTC